TCTCGGTTCACCATAAGAGATAGGAACAATCGTGTTGTCCCCTGCTGACTCTTCCCTAATGCTTAGCTCTTGCTCGCCAACTTCTTGTATAAGATCTTTATGTTTCTTCTCCGGTTCATTTTCCACGATCAAAATTCCTTTTCTTCGTGCATCCCTTTTTTCCACGATCACAATCGAGAACCTGTAGTTAATTTGTTCATTCTGATTACCAATCATTAATCAAGTTAGTTACTTCAATACCATGGCTGCATTCTTCTGCTAGATAAGCTAAAAAAAGGGATATGCAAAAGGCTATTGCTGAACCTGTTGAAGCTATTGTTAGAAGAAAGAAGAAATGGAAACAAAGATGGGGAGAATTAAGCTAGGAACCTAAGGCCTAGAAGTGTCGGCTCGAGGTCTAGGTTGCATGACCATGTCAGCCTTCTATGGTCCAACCAAGCCCGAACCAGATATGATCAACCTTATCTACCATACCATCAACAGTGGAGTCACTTTCCTTGACATTTCTGATGCTTATGGTCCACACACTAATGAAATCCTTCTGGGAAAGGCCTTGAGATTGGATATAAGGGAACCAGTAGAATTGGCTACTAAATTCAGTGCTTGTTTTGTTGATCGTAAAAGGGTAATCAGTGGTGACCCTGCTTATGCAAGGGGTTGCTTTCCTCGTGGCCTAAACTGGTGGAAACTTTTTCAGATGGTGACTTCAGGAAGGTTCGTTCAATCCAGTAACATTTCCGATGAATTTCCAGAAATAAATTGTTTATGTTAAATGCTTAGGCATATCAAATTGAACATATTTGTGTTGGACTCTTACTCATGTCGAACACTTGCACCTGAGTCTGATCCAAAGTTCTAAGTAGGGATATCTTGATTTTCTGCTACATGTTTCTAAATTGCTTTCTTTCAGTGATAACTCACATATATCTATCCATTTCTGCAGATACTTCCGAGGTTCCAACCCGAAAACCTCGACCACAACAAACACATTGATATTAAGTACGGATGATTCAAGAAAAATGAAGAGTCGAAGCAATATAATATATCATATATTGACTTAACCAAATCTATTTTATACAAACAGAAATTTCAATCAAAGAAAAGAAAAATAAACAATTGGTTTTTGCACATTCTTCTTTGTTCTTTAGAAGAGTGGCTCCAGTGGTTGATCTCCCACAATTCCAGATAATTTCGATTTCCATTGATTCCCAGCAGCAAACTCAACACTTGGATCCTTTCCTTCTCTGGTAATTTCCCCAACTTTGTTCACTCTTTCAAGAACTCTTTTCACTGCAATGTCAATGGCATCCTCGTATCTCTCGAATCTTGATTTCGGATTTGCATATATCACCTTGGGGATCAATTTCACAACTTCTTTTCTCATTGCTTTTATTCGATGTTCCGAATACCTCGAAAGTGCTCTATCGATGCTCACATTGCCGGTTTTGATGTCGATTTCGGGGATGTAGACAGAGTATTTAGTATAATTCTTAGGGAAGTACCATATGTATTGTGCATAGGCCGAATACGGATGGAAGAAAACTGGTATACACCCGGAGATAATCGAATCGAAAGTCGAGCGCCGAGTGTACGAATCCCCCGGGGGCTGTAAGCAAAATTTGCAGTCCCTAAACACTTTGATCACTTCAACTGGTGTGTTACATTTGTTTCCCTCAGCCTTACAATCAAGAAACCTGCATGTTTGGTTTGCCGATAAACATTGATTGATGATCTCACCCCGGATCGAGTCCTTCATGGTCGGGCGCGGTGCACCGGCAAAACAGAACAGGTGCCGTCTTTTTCGAGCTCGGACTCGTTTTTGCCAACGAATCACATCAATGTCGCTCGACGGATGGAAGTAAGTCGGATAGGGTACGGCGAATTCATTGCTCCATGAACTTGATTCTATAGACAACACTGTAATGTTCATAAATTCAGGCAAGTTCATAAGCCTACTACCCCAGTCGGATTCGTTATCGATTCGTCGCCGGAAATCCCAAGCAATCCTCCCGGCAACAAAGAAATGATCTCGACCGAACATCCGATTCCATTCGCGTTGTTTACGAAGCCAATGGACAATACCGAATGCCGAAGAGTCTCGGACCGACACATTATAGCCCCATAGGTAACGTCCCACGTCGAGGCCGGCGTAAAAGGGTATGTAAACAGCGGAAGCCATTGATGAATCATTGGTCAAGCATTCATATTGCTTAATCCTTTGATGGAAGATGAGTTCCAACATGAACTGGTTCGTTTCGAACCAGTTTTTTTCCGACAAGACACCTTGGGGTGTCTCAACTTTTGGACCAAACCCAGAATTCATCAACGACGGACACATATTAAACCACTTCACAAGGTTCCGACAATCCTCCAGCACATCAACGTTGAATCTCCGAGGAAGACGATGAACATATATGTATTTTCCTGAACATGGATCAGTTACATTATTAACTATAGTTAATGAAACATTATTTTCCGGGAAAGGAAAATTCTGGGAATCTGGGATTTCAGAAGGTTCATCAATGGCGGCAAGCTGGTTAGCTTTCTGGGTTTTCTCGGAATAAAAGGAGACTCCACTGTTGGAGCTATAAAGAACTGAATAATCAAAGCAAAACAACAAGAAGCAAAAAACAAAGGAAAGAAGAACAGTAAACCAGAACTGGTTATGGCAGTGGCCTCCATTAATGATAAGTTTCTTCTCCATGCTTTTGAGAAAATTCTGAAACGAAAGAAATCAATGGAGACTGAGGAAGAGAATGAGGAATCATATGGGGATTTGGGTTGAAAAACAAGGAAAGAAGAAACTGACAAAGCTATTTAATAAGTACAGGGAAGCCATTAAAATGCAGAGGAATATTAATGGAAAGACTGCTTCTGTTTATGGAAAGTTCTAATTCCAAACATGCAAATCCCACGTTTCCTTTTATTACACATTACAAAGTTATTAAGGTTTATTATGTTTCCATTTTTGTCTTTACGAAGGATACGTAGTAGGATCGGTTTAACTAAAAATTAACTATATAAATAAATTCAATATATTTAATTAAAATATTTTTTTATCAAATGATTAATTTAATAGATTTTATGAATTTATATTAGATATGATTACTGATTAGATCCAATCGAGTTTTCAGTATTCATTTAAAAGACTTTCAACTATTCAACAATAAATATTTAAATATTCTTACGACGTCATACTCGAACACATGATTTCTAGAGATAACAAATATATTTTTAATCACTGGAGTCATTTGTTCATGCAATTTTCAGTTAAAGTTATTTTGACTCGAATAATATATTTTATTATCCGTCTCAAAATTTTGATTTGACTTATAGAGATAAAAACTCATCTTTGACCCAACTCAATAAGAATATTTTTATTATAGTAATTATCCTTAAATATATAAAAAATTATAAAATAGTATCTTAAATAAAAAATTTCATTCTAAATTATAATTTAACCTCACACAACTCTATTCAAATTTAAATTTCAAAATAAAATCTTAATTCTATAAAGTCGGATTTAACATTTGACGATCCCTAACCTATATAATTTAGAAACTATAGTATTAAATTAAAATGATTTTTCATAAAAAAAATTATAAAATATTTAAATTGTATTAAAATTGTACTCGTCGTTAAAGATAAGTTACATGGCTGACCACCATATTTTATGGATCTAAATCACTTGGGATCTATGCCTTTTTTAATTTATAAATAAATAAATAAATAAATTGTTCTTTTAACAATTTTCTTAAATCTGTTGCTTTATATTAACTCCTGTAATGCCATAAAGTTGATTTTTTTAGTTAAATAATATTATTTAATTGATATATAAAGTCAACTAAATATCGAAATAATATTTATTATTATTTTTTTAATAAATTCTATAGTTAATTATAATTTTATTTAGAAGAGAGGGGAACGAGGATTCTAAAGGAAAGAAGGAGAGTGCTCCAAATGAGTACCAAATGTGATTGCTCAAATAATATTTATTATTTTTTTTTTTTATAAATTCTACAGTTAATTCTAATTCTATTTAGAAGAGAGGGGAATGAGGATTCTAAAGGAAAGAAAGAGAGTGCTCCAAATGAGTACCAAATGTGCTTGCTCAAATAATATTTATTATTGATTAGATGTGTCACGTAAAACAAAGATATACCATATTAATTGTATCTTTATCATGTGTGATACGCTCGATTGGCCACAACAAAATTTTTTATTTGATTTAATAAAAATGTATTCACTAAGCATATTTCTTTTTAAAAAATTAAATAAAATTGTGTTCTTTTACCAATTTTATAAGTTTTTTCATTATTTTTTTTTTCATTTTCCGAATTTATATGATTTTTTAGTTTGTGTTTTGATTTCGACTAATAAAATAATAAATAATTAAAATAATAACAAAATTTAAATCAAATAAAAAAAATGAATCAACTATGACATCTACATGAATCAGTTCTCCAACATTATCTACAAGTACGATTGTATTCATCATTTGACTAACACAATCATCAATATTTTTGTATACTGATAGAGTAAATTCATTCATTGATGCGTTTTAATTGTACAACGATACATGATATGTAGAAAATAATGATTTCATAGGTATTTGGTCAACAATTCCGTCGTGGAATGGGACATGTAAAAATCTAAAAGATGGTATCAATATATATGACATAATTGAGTGTACTTGTGGAGTGGTAAGAAATGACATCCATATGCATTATATATTTGTACTGTTGATCCCACAACACTAACATTTCCGTGTGTTTGTTCCCTCCGTCATAGTTGGCCTAGGAATAGACTGTACAAACCTAAATTGTCGAAACTTGAATATCATTCAACAATTGTACAAGAGACAACATATGTTTAATATTACACTCATAACAATCATCACTTATTCATTAAGATCGTTTAACTCAAACACGTTAAACTAATTTCTAATCCATCATTTGTGATTACTTTTTATGACAATAATTTGATTGGTCCACAAAAACTTATGACCACAAGTGCCTTTTTATATTCCAAAAACAAATTAGCCACAAAAAGCTACCGTTCACATGTAGATCGCAACAAAATGACCAGCATCATTATACACAATTCTTCAAAGAATCTCCAGCCCATTGGAAGAAGCAATACGAGAGTGCAAAATCCGCCATGAAAATACCGACTAGAGAGATAACCACGGCAGAAGTCGTTGACTCACCAACACCTTTGGCTCCTCCCATGGTGGTGACTCCCCAAGCACAGCTCACTATCGATATAACCATACCGAAAACCTGAGACTTGATCATTGCACTAATTATATCCCACGAACGTAAAGCCCTTTGCGCTGAATCTAAGATGATATTAATGCTGATCCCGTAAACACTATCGGCCAGAAGGGCACTTGATGCCATCCCGATTGTGAAACACATCAGAGTCAAAAATGGTAAAGCTAGAGAGGTAGCGATAACACGGGGTGTGACCAAGTAATCAACGGGGTTTGATCCAAGAACTCTCAGAGTGTCGGTTTGCTCTGAAACCTGCATTGTTCCTAATTCCGCAGCAAATGCACTCCCGATTCGTCCAGCAACCACAATCGATGTAACCACAGGACCTAACTCCCTTGAGAATGCTAAGGCCAATACCCCACCAATTGATCGGTTCAAACCCAATCGGGTAAATTCTCTAACGAACTGAATGGTGAAGGCCATCCCGACAAATGCGGAGGTTAGAAGACAAACCCCGACTGATTTTGGTCCAACTCTCTCCAGTTGTTGGAGAGTATTCCTCCAGTGGACCTTACCTTTTAAAGTCCGAATAATAACCTGCCCTGCGAGGACAATAACAGATAATCCTCTCCATAAAAACATCGGAGGAGACCATCCACTGAAGAATGTCTCTGGTTCAGAAGGGGGTGCATTGTTCATATTGTGCTCTTCTTCTAGCAAAGGGGCATATGCATAGCCGTCATTGGTGCTGGAAATCACAAACAACCTAGTTTTACGGATTGGTGTAAGATATCGTATACTCTGATCTCTTCGGGTGAAGCCAATTTGCCTTGAACACCAACCTCCTAGTTTAACCGATCCATGATATTTAGTAGAGCTCCTTCTACAATAGGTTTAAAGATATCAAATCTCACAGATAAAGCATCAGCCATAATTCCATTATGAATCGATCGTCGGTGAAATTAGAAGACAGAAAGAGAAAGACCTGCTCTGAAAGTAATATATCGGATGAAGTTGATAAGCTGTTCGCATATTTGCCTCGTCGTCCCTGAACTTCGACCATAAGATTGTTCGAGTAAGACCTTAAAGTTAGAAGTTAGATCATCGCATGAATCGAATTCCAATCAGAAAAAAGAATACACAAAAATATATTTTTTTTCTCGTTTTTTCCTTTACTGAAAATGAAATTTCACCCAAAATCATCAATAATAGATTTGCTTTTCGACTTTACACCAATGAAAACATGAACATTGTAAACTGGTGTTGAATTCAATAACTAAATAAGCTAAATCTGTAAGGTTTTTCATTTTTCCAAAAATCTGAATTTAAGTGCGTCTAGTTTGAGATTAAATCGGAAAGAAACCCTAAAAAGTTCATCTTAACAGCTCCAAGAAAACACTCAAATTTAGTACAACTGCAAAGAAAAACGCAAGTTAGCGGAATACCCAAAAGCATCAAATAAAGGATTATCTCAAGAACAGTTCAAAATTCCACTACCCAATTACTCCAAACAGGTAAATTTACCTCAAGAACAAAATCCCAAGCTCATTTTTGCTAAATAAAACAATCTTCAAGTGGCAGAGTCCCAAAAGAGGGAAGCAGATTGATCCCTAAAAATCAAGAAAACAAAATGAAAATTCGCAGGAAAGAACAGATGCAAAATACATCTGATTGAAGAGAGAGTAAACAATCGCGATGGAGTTTGGCGGCTTTTGCAATGAGCACGCTCTTCAATGCACGGAAATAATAAGAAAGGAAAAATTACAAACATGGTGAATAATGTTTGAGTAAAAATTTTTTAATATTAAAATTTCAAAATTAACGAACTAATCAATAACATTATCAATTTATATATCTAAAACGTACCTAAGGCTAATCACTTTATTAATTTTAAAACATAAAATTGAAACATATGTTTAGTATAATACTTTATTTTATTTATAGTAAAGAGTTTAAATATATAATCAAAAAATCAATTGGTTTAGTAAGATAAGACACTAAATTCCTTAAACAAGTTAGAGATTTGAACATTGGCGTTTGTGAATAGATCAACATGAATTGGAGGGTCGTCATTGCTTCTGCAAAACTCGATCTAGATTAGTCGATCAATAAATCAGATACCAATGATTAATTTAAAAAAATTAAATATATTATAATATATATTTTAAGTATATTACTTCTTAAAAAATATTTTTGAGTAAAGATTAATTATCGAACTATTTTTCGAAAATAACGGATACACAAATTACCGAACACATTCTATATTTAGTTTTATAATAATTTATTTAATGTTGTATTCGTGTTCGTATTTATTTTCAAGTTAAAATATTTAAATAATAAAAATTATAAATGTAAGAGAAGAAAACGATATACATGGGTCATTGGAATGCGTAGAGCAGTCTACGTGGCGCGAACCCGTCAGTTTCAAAGCTTAAACACTCCCACAAAAATGGCGCAAACCCGCTCATGATTCACTCAAATCCTCAGAAAAAAAACAAAGGAAAAATCCCAAACAAAGAAAGCTCAATTCAAAGAGGATCAAAGAAAAACAAAGAACAATGGATTCGATTTCTCTACGCTCGTTCCATTCTCAGTTTTCAGTTCGTAAGCAACTCAGATTCCTCCCAAACACCGCTATTTTCCATTCCAGGATTCATTTTCCTTTTCGTTTCCCTCCGAGAAGAAGCCGCCGCCGTTATAATTATAAACCTCTCGTTTCTGCCGTCTCCACCACTTCCACTAGGTACTCTTTTACACGCTTTCATTCGTATGGCTTCTTATTGTTGTTATGATCATTTTTTGCTGCTCTGAAAATGGGAATTTGAAGCACTCTATTTGTAAAAAGTTCATCCTTTTGAAAAATGTATGAACTGAATACGTTGAATCTTTTGCCAGTGGGAAATATCTGGAAATGGAATGTGTTAGATCTAAAAGAAAATCCCATTTCTTTTTCTTGATTGTTTTGATGAAATTCTATACAATGTTGTTAAGATTATAGATTGCTAAAGTGGGTTTTGTGGTTTTGGGAGCAGAGAAGCAGAGAAGAGCAAGGTGAAATCGGCTGCTCCCGGAAAAGTACTTATCAATATTTGTTTAGATCATCAAGTTCAATTCGGTGAGCATGTTGTGGTTTCCGGCTCGGCGAAAGAATTGGGATCCTGGAAGATCCAGGTGCCTATGAGCTGGTCCGAGATCGGATGGGCATGTGACTTTGAGTTCGATGCCGGTCAGTGTGCTGAGTTCAAATTTGTGATTGTTGGGAAGGATAAGAATGTAGTATGGGAAACTGGGGATAACAGTGCTTTCAAAGTGCCTGAAGGAGGGAGTTTCGGGAATTTGTCACTGGAACTCAACAAAGGAACCAATGAAACTATTGCCTTTAGATTTGGAAAAATATCGAGACAGAGAAGTTGTTGGCCGTAACACTGCTGCATAGGTCGAAATGAGTCCTTTTGTTGGACAATGGCAGGGGAGGGAGCATCACCATAAAAAAGTTGAGAGGAAATGGGATACAACCGGTCTTAAAGGGTTGCCTCTAAAACTAGTTGAAGGAGATAAAAATGCAAGGGATTGGTGGAGAAAGGTACATATAGATGTCGTAACCGATATATTTTCCGTTCCTCCCTTGATGCCAACAATTGAATTGCAGTTTACTTATGTAATTTTATGAGTTTTAGCATTATCCAGCTCAGTTGGTAGAGCACAAGGTTCTTAACCTTGAGGTCGTGGATCGAATCCCACGGAGGGCATTTCCATAATTCGGAGGTCTTCTACGGAAGCTACTCTCAACCTGGTGTGTTGGGGGCAGCCTACTATCTTACCTCCCCTTACCCCATTACATATGAGAACAAGGGACAGCCATTTATATGTGTGTAGCCTTAATGCATTCAATCAATTACCTATGTTCACATTCCTATTTATAAATGGTTGTCCATTAGTTATTTTAGATCATGGATTAGCTTGTAAATATCTATCATCATGGGTAATGCTCATGATTTGGTATATATTTCTTCTACCATTTGCCATTTACATTTCTCCATCTGTATTTTCCTATTGCTAATGAAAGCTCGAAGTGGTTCGTGGGCTATTACTTGAAAGTTTGGAAATTGGGGAACTCTTGGAGGCTCTAATATGCTCTGCTGTCTATCTGAAGGTATTATTGTATAGCTTTTTCTACACGTTTGTTTTGGTTCTTTATCTTCCATGTGCTGCTCTTAAATACTTGTCGTATGCAGTGGATAAACACTGGCCAAATTCCTTGTTTCGAAGATGGGGGTCATCACAGGCCGAACAGACATGCCGAGATTTCCAGGGATATATTTCGCGAATTAGAACAAATCTCTTGTTGGAAAGGCACTTCACCTCAGGTGCTCCATTTCTGCAATTTTTGTATTGATAGTTTTTATAGTTATCAGAACTTGGTGTTTTGTAGTCAATAGCTTACATCTTCTATTTCACAGTTATGATTCTATAATTTTCATACTTTCCTTTTTCTTCCTTGTTTCTAGGAAGTGCTTGTTATTCGCAAAATCCATCCTTGTTTGCCGTCTTTTAAAGCAGAATTTACAGCAGCTGTCCCCCTGACTCGGATTAGAGACATTGCTCATCGGGGTGATATTCCTCAAGAGCTCAAGGTCAATTTCTCAAATACATGGCCAGTTATTGTTATTATTATTTAAAAAAATTACTAATTTATTTTCTATTGACTAATTCCAGCAAGAAATTAAGCATTCAATACAGAACAAGCTTCATCGAAATGCTGGCCCCGAAGATTTAGTTTCGACAGAAGCAATGCTTGCAAGAATCCTGGAGAATACAGTGAAGGATTTGTGGAGCAATTCAAGATATTCCATCAGGAACTCAAAGATTTTTTCAATGCAGGAAGGTTCGATTCGGAAATTTTGAATTTCTACCTATGGTCATGTAATTGTGAGGCAGCAATGTCCCAGCTTTCCACTTCGTGGGGTGATCCAGTTCTTTATTTATTGCTATGTCTTGCTTCTCAAGACTCATCATAAATTTATGCATCTATATAAGATTTTATGTTATTGCAGCCTCACTGAACAACTTGAGTCACTTAGAGAATCACTGGATGAGCGAGGCATATCAGCTCTTGACATGTTTCTAGTATGCAAAAAGGTATGTTGTTATTTTTCTGCTTGTAGTTATTGCAAGTGATTAGTTTTTGTCGCATTCGCCTGATTTCTCAATTGCATATTTATATTTCCAGATTACGGATGCTGCAAAAGAGTCAAGTAGTGAACTGGATTTAATCAAGGCAACGCTTTCGTTGAATGCTTTGAGACAAGTGATTGTAAAGGGTCTCGAAAGTGGTCTTAAAAACAATGCTCCCGAAGCAGCCATAGCAATGCGTCAAAAGGTAAGTCCAATGCTTACAGTGTTTAAGCACAAGCTTCAAATAAACAGAAACTCAGGCTTGAAAATTTCTCCTTTTGCTCCCATGTCTTATTTTTCCTGTCACTGTTGTTTGCAATTGTTAGTGGCGGTTTTGTGAGATTGGCCTCGAGGACTATTCCTTTTTACTATTAAGCAGGTATATATCTAATTCTTTTCCAGTTGCTTTTGATAATTGTGCCAGAACTTGAAACTTTTTCCAGGTATATATTATACCTCTGCCAATTATGAAGTCTAATTTATTAGTAGTTTATTTCTAATTTATTAGTAGTTTACTAATCAGCTTAAGGTTCACTTTAGTTACCAAGTTCTTGTTATTTCAAGTCAATGCCCCTTGTGTCCTGTGTTACTTATCCAGATTCTTTTGGCTGTAGAATTTGTTGTAGCCGTCAGCATGGTGCTTAGAATTGGGAAGATTAATAGAATATAATATTTACGATTTCACAGACTGATGTTAATAGGATGGAATGGTGTAATACTTTCGGTTTATCTTAAAGGGAAACAAACTGAGCTAGAAGAAAGAAGCTATATCATGTTTTTCTAGGGCTGCCTGAACCAGTTAAATTGGGCTTCTAATCTTAGAACTGAAAGTCATTTATGTTGCTGATTTGTTTAACGTTGTTGCATGGTATTCATACAATACAATCTGCAATATCATGCATGCAAATATATGCTCGACCGTGCCAACAGGTGCTTTACAAAGGTGTTTATGAATTATGGTCATCCATATCATACCTATTCAGAACAGAATGCCTTTATTGCATTTGTAATGAATGACTTTTTCTACAAATACCAAATCATTGTACTTTCTGGTTCTTTTCTTGTTTCCAAATAATATAGTTTCCTACGAACACCAAATCATTGTACTTTCTGGTTTCTCCTCTTTCCGTTTACATATGTTTCAGTAAATGGTCCTTTTCTCTCCATTTCTCTTATTCATGCAGTACTGACTTGCATTGACTTAAGCTACACACTACACATGAAACTATGGGAGGAGCCAATAGGCTTGCAGATAATATGGGTACAAAGAGAATAGGCTCCTGGAATAATCCGCTTATGTCCCTAATTCTCGGTGTTCATCAACTTGGTTTATCTGGTTGGAAACCCGAAGAATGTGCTGCTATTGGAAGTGAGCTCACTGCATGGCAAGAGAAAGGTCTCCTTGAGAAAGAAGGTACATTTTTCCTTTGTTACTCTGACTTTTTATTTTGGTTGAAGTACCC